CTTTCCCAACCGCGCGCATCATCTCGATCACTCGACCACCCGCGCGCATCAAGGCCCGATGCGCGCTGCTCGCTCGTGCTCGCCCATTCGCACATCGTCCCATAGCAATCTCCGGCACGCATCTTCCACCCCTCGCGCACCCATTCTTCTAGCCTCTACTCTCCAAGCATGTCGCTTTCTGGCACAAGCTTTGCACCAATTGTTCATTCCCTTAGACCATGGCTTGCGTTGCTTCTTAGCTCGCTTGGCGTTGCGCCCTCTTGACCCCGGGCCACATCCTCTTGGCCAGTCTCTCCTGAAAGTAGGCCAATATTCTTCGATTTGCGGCTCTTCTGGCCCATGTTCTAGCCAACTCTCGAGGTCCTCGGATGTCTCGTCCTCGGACTCTCCGGGGTTAATAACCACTTCCGTATCATTCCCCTCCTCTTCAAGACTTTCCTTGTCCTCAAGGATGATGAAATTAAGCTTGCGGACTCGTCCATCGTCTTCATCCTCGTCAGGCGACTCCCCTGGATCTTCGGTCATCAACTTGATTCGTTTGCTTGATCGCCCAAACTCCATAGTTCCTTTCATATAATTAGTTGTGATTGGACCATGAGTCTCCAACCACTGACATCCAAGTACCACATCAGTCGCCTTTAATGGTAAGGCATATAGATCGACTTTCATCTTTTGACCCTAAGCTTCCATCTTTACTCCTTTGAAAAATATATCACCTCGAAGTGTCTCCCCGTTGGCCACCTTGACTCCAAAAGGTTTCACCTTTGTAAATGGAATCTCTATCTCCTTGGACAACTCCTCATCAATGAAATTTAGCGTGGACTCGCTATCTACCAATACTTCCACCAACTTGCCTCTAATCTCAGCTGTAAACTTGATCATCTTCGGACCTCGTTTTTTACACTTAACCACATGTAACAAAGTCTCCTCAGCTGGTTCGCTCTCCTGTTCCTCCTCAAACTCAAGCAGAAAGACATCTTTACCTTTGCATTTATGGCTCGGTGTGAATCGTTCGTTGCATGTGAAGCATAAACCTTTCGCTCTTCGCCGTTGGATGTCGTCCTCCGTTAGCCGCCGCATATTGCTCGTGGTTCGAACACCTTCGGCCATCGGCTTGATCTCGGCCCGTGGGGGCGCCTCCTTGATCGCGGTGTGCGTGCGCCTTG